GCCTGGTCTTGACAGGCTACCTTACATGTGCTGTTTGGGTCTCTGTGCATGTGTGTGTGTATACATATATACACACACATACACATGTAACATATGTACATATATATATATATATGTATATGATTGCATGCATAGCTTCAATGGTCATATGGGGTGTTAGGCCGATCATATTATAGGTGAACATAAAATTTCTCAGGATGTCTGCATGTACGCATGGATGGATGGAAACTGCTGAACAGGTTTAGGAACTGCTTTGCACGTTGCCCAAGCCCATAGCTCTGGCAGCGTCAAGGTGCGTGCCTGCTCATTTTTCCATGATCCGCCTCACGCTGATGGCAGCTTGGCGTTAACGCTCGTAGTTGTGCCCTCAACCCACGCTGCCTTACGTCCTACAACCTGTCAGGCAAAGGGATCGGGTAGGAGTCGCCACCCGTGGCAGAACCAAGGGGGCGCCCTGGAAGGTAGAAGCCCAAATCGACGGCCTCTGGAGCCACTTGGAAAGCACCTTTCATGCCCCAGGACTCACCCCAGGAGTTGATGGCCAAGATATATCCGGGCCCAAAACCCATGCCTGTGACGGCATGTCCTCCAATTTTACGGTTGTAGCTCTTGCGCAGGGGTTTGTATATACCAGACTTATAGGCCTGGAAGTCCTGGTAGATTCTCATTCCAAGCAGAATCGGGCCCTCCGTCATGAGCGCCTTCTGGACCATGTGGGGCACCTGAGAGCCTCCAGAATGCAACCTCCTGGGCTCGTACTGAACATAAAAGAGGTCCTGACTCAGCGGTCGCGGATAGTTGCTATATGGAGAACATGCGCCCGGGCAGCGAACCTGAGTGTCGTAGGGCAGCACTTGCGGGTAGCAAGTCTGAACACCAGCCAGCATATTTCCTTCGGAGTCCGGGCCACCTGTAGGAACTCCCCAGCGCGAAACCGTCTGGAAGCCCAGCAGGCCGCCAGCAGCACCGCAGTAGTTGCGGCCATCGGTCCTGCACGCTGCGATGAAAGACTGGCTCAGCCAAGCTTGTGGGCCGTTAAACTTGCCATGGGTCTGGATGCAAAGCCGGCTTTCCGTGATCAAAGCGGTAGCATGGCTCCAGCAATTGTCGCACGTCTGGGAGCGCACGTGAGTCGTGACATTCCTGCACTCAGGCCAGTTTTCCCGCACGTCAAAGGCCTCGGAAAATGCCGCCTTACGAAGCTCCTCCGTGCTGAACTGCTTCATGTCCTCTTGCACCATCTTCAGAGTTTCGTTCTTCATATCTTCCTCTTCCTCTTTGGGCAAGACGAAACCGAGCTTGCTCCTGAAATCCTTAACTGACATCTTGATGAAAGATGAGTCGTAGACTGCCGTCCAGCTGCCCGCGCCTGTTCGACTCAACTTGTTGACCTCCTTCGTCAGGGACTCCGGGATTATCGGGCTCATGTCCATGTAGCCATTCTGCAGCAAGCTCTTCCAGCTGGAATACCGTTCAGACTCGGTGCTCTTTGTGATCACTCTCTTGGAGCCGCCGACGACCAAGGCCAGAAAACGATCTTGAAAACTCTTTACCTCCTTTGTGGTCAAGGGCGGGACGGTCTCGTCCATTCTTGCTTGGAAGTGCAGCTGCAGGAAGACTTTCCTTGAAGACTGCATCACAGCCTTTGTACAGCGACTTGGGTCGCTGATCTTGGAGCCGCAGCTGGCCATCACTGCGTTGAAGTGCAAGTCCAGGGAACGCCTCCTTGTCGGCTTGCTCTTCACTACCATCGGCGTTAGGGGCGACGGTCTGCTTTCGTCATTCTGCTCGATGACAGCACTGTGCTTGGCACCGCTGGCTTCGAAGTCATTATCTGAGGAAGAAGCAGCACTGGCTTTCATCGCCTCACGGTATTGCTTGACTCTTCGCATCTGCCTCTGCAGAAGATGCAAAGAACCCTCATCTTCCTCCTCTGCGATGAGGTCTGCTGTCGAGAAAGAAGATTCGTCCTCCGTTTTGCCAGAGGGGCAGGCACCAGTGGTCTCAGGCACTACAGCACGCAGGAGTGCACAATGCACCGCCGCGAAAAGCAACTGCAACGCCGTCATGCTGGCAAGCGCTTTGAAATGGAATCCGGAAGAGGCTTGAGCCACAGGGCTCCTGTTTGTGTTGGAGTTCTTCATGAGCTTAGGCACGTGAGGTCTCTAGGGTCTTCAAGTGTGGAGCTTGGGCGAGCAGCGTCCAACCAACACAGAGCCCAAATACGGGTACTAACAACGAAACCACTACCCAAGTGTGCCAATCCTGCGACACAGAGAGCTCCACTGAACACAAGTTCTTAATTTCGATGCCTGTAGGTCATTCGAAGTTCTGTCGGGATCTGTCGCCCTCAAAGGTGTCCAGCCTGGGAAGTGCCTCCGTGCACGCGGATAACCACAGCTGTGCCTGGAAAGGCAGCGCCAGCAGCAGGGGCTGTGGCTCTCAGGATGTCATGAAGGATTCGGCACTCACGGCTCGGACAACTTGAGGGTTTCTGGACTGCAGGCTACGTAGTGTTCGGAGTCGACAATGTGACGATTTCCGGATTCCATTGCCGGCCTATAAATCCACACGCCATGTGCACTGAAAGTTATGGTTCTGTCGCGCGAATGCCGTGTCTGCAGCTTAGAACATGACAAGACGCATGTTGTCCATGTGTTTCCTGTGTGAAGGCCAAAAGCTTGTGCCTCGCTACTGCGTATGTGAAACCATGCAGGACCAAGCAAGATACCAAGATGCTACCGGCTCTCATGACGGCCCTCAACTGGTCACAAGTCCGAGAAATCTCTTTTGACTTCCACGACAAGCTATCAAACAAGCAGCTTATGTCACCTCCTTCCGCACTCCCGGAACGAAGAGCCCCACAGCCGGAAGAGCCCAACAGTCACTTTTCTCATTTTCGCAACTGATTGTTCCGGGCCTCGCCGATTAAAGCCATTAGCATGCTGATTGCGTTCGTTGATGAAATCACCACCACCAACAACAGCAAGAGACCAAAGAATCAACCTTACGACTTCCTGTTGCAAAACCTACCAGCTTCTGTTTGAACTGATCCCTGTCCATTTGCAGGCCGATTTTCTGCTACTCTAGTGAATACCTAGTCTACTCCATTTCCGCCCACTCAAGGAAAGGAAGCCTGACTGAAAGCAACCCTCATCCGAAATCCCAGAACCCAAAATCCCTAGCATCTACAACCGCGCCCCTTAAATCCGAAACCCCCGAATAGTGGTGGCATAAAGCCGAAGTTGGCCTTGACACGGCGAGGGTTGCAGGCATGTCTGCGGCAACGAAGCTGTCCTGCTCCGGACTCGGGTGGTTCTAGCATTCTAGAATCCATACTATTTCTTGGCTGACTTCTGCACCCCCGTAAAAGTGAAAGATTAAGCCTCGCCATGCCAGCAGCATCCGGGAGATACAGTTTTCTTTACTTCTGCTTCGTACCTCAACGGGAGTGACTTGACAACAGCCACACACAGCCATCTCACGCATTTAAGACCTATACCATGTCCCAAGTTCTTCTGCAACACTTCCGAAACAATGCTCCATGTCATCGGTTCATTGGTTGACTCTGTGCTCAAGACCCAAGGCCCGGATAATGAAGCTTCTGGGGTGGTATGTTCGCTTGTCTACATTTACATCGATAGGTCTTTTCCATGTTAAGACTATATCTCTCTACATATTTAGGTTATCTGTACATGCATAGCATTCATACTTATGCATGTTGGGTTAGGGCCGTTAGGGCTTCTTGTTTCCTAGACTACATACTCATGCCACAAGGGGCTTGGCACTTCGGATCCCTCTGCATTCTGGCCTCCTCTGTCCTGGCCTTGCGCAGGGCCACCGGGCCCGGCGTGCCGCCATGTGTTTCTGTCATCAGCCGCACTGAAGTCACTGTGAAGCTTCAAGGTTACCTCAACATACTGCCGTTCGTTGGAGGGACACTGCAGGCGGCGGTTTACGCTCTCGCAACTCGGACACAGCCAGACGAGGTTCTCGGTGCGCATGGTCAGGCGGCGGTTTAAGATTTCGAGTGCAAGCGCCTGGGCGATTCTATGGGCAAATAAGGCAAATATTTGATGGCCGGCTTCAGTGACGAGTTGCCGCGAGAAGCTGATTAGAAGGTTGCTGAAGCTTTCGGAGCCGGAGCAGAAACAGCATCAGTTCTGCCGTGTCAAACCATGCCAGTGTACATGTGCGCGTCTGATAGTTTACTTTGCGCTGGCATGCCCTCCACAAATGGCTAATGTTCCAGTCTCAAACACAGGAGGAAAGTGCCTCCAGCAACGATGTGGTATGCGAGAGAGGTCAGCCAAGTAGCACAACTACAAAACAGTCTTGCAACCTGCACGTTCCGGAACAAGGTTCGCGCAAGTCTATAACGAGGCCAATACGATGCCACGTTCCACGAGAAGGAAACTGGAGCCTTGCTCGCATGCTCGAAGCCCTCGCTAACGCAAATGAGCTTCATCATGATCCGCTCCTGGCAGAGCAGCTGTCAAAGCAGGTGTCTTTCTGGAAGAAATCATGTCCATTTGCAACGGCTAGCACAGGAATCAGCATGTGAAGCCGAAGGTGCACCAATGGCCAATTGCAGGCAAAACGCTCCATCCCTCCATGATGAAAGCAAAGTGTTGTGGGAAAACCCATGAGCCCATGATTCGGCTGGAAACGATCTCTTTTGCACCGGTGGCTCAGGCTCGATCGAGGACGTCAAAAAGGCCCTCCAGCGAATTGAAAGCCTGTGGAAGTCTTTCAATTCTTGGGCCCTCCTGTTCCAGTGACCTCTTAGTCGTCCGTCTGCAAGAACTTCGAAGCACATCTCTTTGAAGCACCTCTTCCTGCGGTGTCTGCCAGTCCTGTCAAGCAACTGGTCTTCTTCGGATGCATCATACCGGTCTTGTCGTTCCGAGCTGTCACTAGAGTCGACCTAGCCATACCTAGCCCAAAGCAGGATAATTGCTGGCCTGCCCAGACTCTACTTTGCAGCACCACGCCAATCATCATGTGCGGATAGCCGTCGAGGACGCATCTCCGGTGTAGATCCTGCTGCCGTCTTTGCTCGTGCCGATCCCGAAAACGCCCATACTGCTCATTGGGCAACCACCACCACCGCCTGGGATGTTCCGATCTTACAGCGATTCGACAAACAGCGGCAACCCAATTGCTAAGTTGAAAAGCTCTCTGTGAAGTTTGCAGGGTTACGGACACGGTGCTACAGGCTCGAGTCGAGGGATGTATTGCTCTAAAGATATTTTTTCCCTCTCGCATTGCCTCTAAAGATATTACCGGGTAGCGGGGTCTTGGGCATTTGGCGCAGTCCTGGAGATCTGCAACCCCGAGGCCTAAAACAAACACCCATGCCCCCCCAAGTCCCGAAAACATGCCATCAAGCGAGGATTGCCTTGTGCCTGTTATGCGCCAAGCCTTTACTCGGCCTATACTATCCTCCCCAAACCGCAAGACGCACCTGGTCGGCTTCCGAACTTGGGTGCGCCCGGTGCGTTGCGCAACCGCTCCTCTTCCTCATGGTTACGAGTGCTCAGAAGAGAATCAAATAAGGACCTTCTTCTCTTCATGGTTCTCTTCGAGTCGGTTAGGTTCCAAACAGAAAGTAGGCGACCAGTTTCTGGGACGCCAGGGTAGCTAAACCCGAATTCCGGAAACTCAGATGGCCTGGCCCTCTCGTAAAAGGATTCCTTTCCGGGATGCTTCTGAGAGTAGCCAGGCACGAAAAGTACCAAGGGAACCCGACTTTAGATGCCAGTCAAAGATGATCGAATGCTCAGGGCCGAGGAGGCTGGAGGACATTCGACAATAGCCAAAGAATTGTTTGGATATTTACGAGGTGTTAGCGCTAGGTAACGCTCTCTTCTGTATTGTCGCAAAAAGTACTGCCATTACCAAAGGAGTTTCTACGACAACGGCGACGATGACACATGGCCACTACTAGTCTTGGTAGTGTCGCTGATACTATGGTCATCTCCCACTATTCTTCTTGTGACTGCTGCCACTGTAGTTGCTACAGTAGGTTCTTGCGGCTGCGATTAGCAAAGCCAACTTCTTCGTCAACTTGTGGAGTTGGCATTTAGCACTTCGCGCTTCGCTTTGCCAGCCTCTTCGGTGTAGAGGTGCTTGGGGCGAAGCGGAAAGCCATGCCTCGGTCGGAACCGAGAAAGGACTCTCAGACTGAGACGTTGTGCGGTCATCGTCAAATCTGACACGCATGTATACGAGTAGTCACACCTCTAGAACCGCGTCAACGCTGATGCCAATGCGGTGCATGGTGAAGGTAGACACTGTTGTGAAGTCAAGCAGCTCGTTCAAGCAAGGATTCTTGCGCTCGCCCTTTTCAGCCAAATTGCCTGGGCTGGTGGGAGAGGCATGCAATTGTCTCGATAATGGTGGAGTGAAGAAATGACTAATGACTAATTGCAAAATTTACATCTTGGCGGAGGTGAGAATATCTAAAGGAAAGTCGTCCATGCATGCATCGAAGCTAAAGCATAAACCCTCAAAAACCTGCGAGACTCTGTTTCGGAGTCCCAAACTCACTCTTGCTGGCTTCCTGCCGGCACGAGTGCCACAACCCTAAAGCACGCCCAACACTCCCTGCGCTCGGTTTCTCTCTCCCTCTCTCTCGCTCCTCGTTCACACCTCTCGGTCCTGCTAACCCCCTCCATCACCGTGCATCCTGGATGTGCCATGCAGAAGAGTCACCGTACGTATTCATGCGTGGGGGCTCTGGGAGTTTCGTTGATGGCTTCGCCCCTGCAGCCAACAGCATCTTCTCGATCTTCGGATGCCTGGCCAAAAAAGCCATGCAGGGTGTTGCACCAGACTCAACCTACATCCTAGGACAATAACATCCTGACTAGATGTTTCCAAAGTTGAAACAGTCCCGCAAAAGAAGCTAAAAACCATCTTGTGACTTGCCAGAGCAGATTGATACTTGCCATGGGCCGCAAACTCCACTCTAGATGTATGTAGACATCCATAGTCACACACACAGACGCATACATATTTATACATATAAACATATATACACATGTATGAACATATCTGCATACATATACATATATACCTTTACACACATATGTAGATATATATATATATATACATATTGACTACGGTCACTACTGCCATGGTGGCTGTCCTTATGAACAACGGCATGTGCCATTGTGATTGTCACTGTTAGAGGTACTGATACTGTGACTATTGCCGTTGCCAGTCTTGTTATTCTGTTCTGATGCTAGCTCATACTGTATACATATACAATCACATATGTGTCTATATACACACATATATACATACATATATATACATACATATATATATATATACATATGTATATAGATAGATGTTTTTTGGTATGTCCGTATGTATACATGCAGGGCTCGAATGGCCCGCAAGGGCAGGATATCGGTAGCCGGTGGCCCAGTGAGCCCAGTTCCCCCAGAATCGCCCCATATGGGGAGCCTTCAACATCAACCATGATGGGCCGTGCTGTCTATCAGCTCCTGGAGTATGGAGATTCGGATTCACTTGAGCTGCGCCTGGTCTTACAAGACCGGACATGCACCGACCTGATATACAAGAAGTCATTCATAAGGCAAGTGGCAGAGCATACCTTCGCGACACTGACTTCTGGTCTCGACTTGGTGCAGATGCCGCTGGAACCCAGCAGCAAGACTGTGCGGCCCGTATGTCGGCAAGTGGGGACATTTGTGCAGTACGGTTACTACAGGTGCTGCTAATGCTACTGTTCCGTGCATGACGTGGAAGCGCGCTGTTCACAGAGCTTCACGACCTCGGCGGCGCCATCGTTGTGCCTTCTACATTTGTCCGTGCTGGGACTGACAAGCTGCCAAAGGCGAATGCGTGGCCTGATAGCCTTGCGAGGAACACATGCTGAAATGTCAGGTTGTAATCGCCTGATTTCGAAGGGGTGTTGGACTTTCGTGGTAGATCATGGAGTTCATCATCCGGCTTCTGTTGTTGTTTGGCGGGTCATGGGTTCGACGACTTTTCGGTTCAAGGACTGGTCGGTTACATATCACTTTTACCCAGCTGACATGCTTGAGTGCATCTGGCACTGTCTTTATGCCTCAGCCAGATTTCGCGCCAGGCTTTTGAATTTAATTAGGTGCCCAATGGGGCTGCGTCCGACATGGACTCTACGCCCCAAAAGCGAGATGTATGTACATATGCGTATGTACATGTATGTGTACTAATGTACGTATGCATGCATGCCTCACTGCAGATCGCGGTATACCTCCCCTACCAATCTTCCGGCCTCGGCTGCTTCTGCTTCTCAGGATCCCGCTCGAAGGGCAGTGTGTCCTTAGTCTCGGATGACTTCCGATGCTCCAAACATAGGGATTCGGGCTTCTTCCGCCTCCTACTTCGTAAGGACGAGCCCGCATGATAGGGTGTGTACGGTCGGCTAGGTAATGGGTGTTTCGACTCGAGGTCTTGCATTGAGCAGGCACGGATTCCAGCAAGAGGGTCTGATGACGTGAGAAAAGCTAAGGGTCGAAGGAAGGAACAAACACCAAAGGAAGGTTTTTTCGCTCAGAGTCGGACAAGCCAGGCGAGGTTATTGGTGGTGGTGTGAAACGCTTCCCAGAATCTACCGACTGCTGAATGCAAGACCACATTCCGGGGTTTCGGTGCTCACACTCGAAATGGACCTGCGGTTTTTGCTGTTTTGAACATCCCTTTTCCGTCTCGTAGGTACTTTAGGGTTCTAGGGTAGGTTGTTCATGAAGCTTCCATCTTGTATACGTGTAGCGGGTTCGGCCACAAGCGTGCCATGATGTTCTCTAGTGAAGAAACGAGCCAAGACTCCCCTGTGCGTGCAATGTCCAAGGCCGTCCAGAAGCTGTACGGGCCACTGGCTGTGCAGCAGCAACAAATCACGTTGACGTCCGCCCTATTTTCCAGTAAGACCTGGAGAGTTTTCGGGGCGCTGGGTAGAATCCTGAATTTGAACAGGCCCAACCAGAAACCCTGATCCCCACAACCCTACCCTGAAGGCTACAGCGACGCTAGGAACCTCAAGTCGTGCTGTAGGCAGCAGTAGAAACGACAACCACGCAGTCTGCAGCCGGAGCAGTTCCTAGCGCCTACCATGTCATGTGCTGTTTCTCAGTAAAAGACTAAAACTACTATGCAACGTGTGGAAGCGAAAAAGGAAAATGCTCCGTGCAATGCTTCTTGTAGCTTCAGTTTCGACCCCTCCCAGGGGAGATCACGAGTTGCGTCATGAAGATGTCAAGGTGTCTGCGATAGACTGACACCTTACAAACCCTGCCGACTGCGGGGTGTGTCGCCTTCGTGGCCTCCAAATGGCCTCCGGCCACGGCTGCCGTGAGGGGCGTCCAGTCGGTGCCATACATCCGGAAGGAACCTTTCATGCATAGGAGCTAGCACAAGGGTGGTGGGCCGCTAAAACATGTGTAGTGAACTCGTTCCACGGCAGGCTCATTTCTGTTGCATATCAGATCCCTCAAAGAGCCCAACCAACCTGCTAAGCTTGAAGCTGCGGGCCTGGGTAGAAGCGGAATTCGTTGACATAAATGTTGATCTCACATCCTGCCGAGAGCGGGCTGGCGTCTGACGTGGGTAGGCTCCTAAACGAGCTACTCAATCCCAAAAATGGAATCCCCTGATTACAAATGCCCTGGCACCCGTACAACTTGGACCGCTACGATACTAATCACGTGACATGGAGACCCCATCTGTTCATGGCTGCGGCTTTTGGGATTCTTGTCGCGATTCCTGTTTTGAAGTCCGTCGTTCCTCCCCCGATCCATTTTTGGTGACGGTGCTTTATGGCCAGGCGCAGCCGGAGGCCCAGGTTCGAACATCTCCAGCCCTGAGTCCCGAGGCCCTACAGCGTCGAACGGACACGAACTGAAAGACACTTGCATGCCAGTGGATGGCCGTCCTAGGAGGGCACGAATCGCAGAGGCACGCAAGGGGCAATGACCCGGCCCAACAAAACCCGATAATGATGCCAGTAGAGTCAAACAGTGCCACCGCGAACCCGAGGCACTTGACTACCAAAATCGGCGGGGAACTTTGGCGATGAATCAGAATCAGAATCACCAGTATCAGCGATGACAGTAATGTATCACATCTAAGAACGGATGAACATCAGCAATGTGATTCTCATGCTCCATTTGTGATCGAAGTGATGCCTGACGTTCTTTGGCCCACCGTGGCCTTGATGCAGCTGGGCACTGAGGGCCTCGCTGTCACCCCTCTCCTTGATTGATTGTTCGGGTTTGGGGTTCAGATTAGGGCTTAGCAGTTCAGCAAGGTTGAGATTGCTGATTGGTTATCATGCTTTGAAAGACCTCGCATCCGTTCTCATGCTCCGTATGCCTAGGAGTCTTCTCACTCTTATCTTTGGGGCCAGGTCCTCAAGATGTGTCGCGGTTGTCTTGGAGGTGTAAGCACCGATAAGCATCACAGCAAGCATGAACCCCATAGTATTCGAAGCGGAACCAGGTCTCGGCCAGGGGCAGGAGACTGGCATCCAGACGCCGAGATTCTTCCGAAGGGCCTCTCACTTGTTTTGTTGACCTTATCAGATTGCATATCTCATATGTTATATGATCACTGCTAGATTAAACACCCCACATCATGTAAAGCCTGCGGAGTCCTCGGAGAGGATACTAGTAGGACATACGATTTCCGGGGTTGCATAAGGTCTCGGACCAGTCCCGGGGTGAAGCAGGGCACATCTGTTCTGACGTGGTTATCTTGCTCTTCAGGCTCCCACCACCAAATGCAAACGCCCGTATACGATCTGTACACAAGCAAACTTGAACTCAAACCACCTGTTTATATGTGTCTCTGCATGCTGGTACAAACCCCTACACATCAAGGGAGCTCCCTTCTTTTCGATTTAAGCGGTTCTGCTGCATTGCCACATGTGATGAAGCCCGCTCAGCGAAGCACAAACCTTGAATCAAACACTAAATTTGTTAAATTAGCCGATATACAATACATAAACCTGAAGGCGTTGTTGTCGCTATATCTCTCTCTCTCTCTCTCACCCTTGATCTGGTGCTTGCCAGTTGCACTTGCTGGCTTCTTGCTGTCTGTTATCTGTTTCAGCTCCTTACCCGATGACACCTGAGAAAGACAGAAATCGATAGACTGCTAACTCCTCGCAGTGAAGCTGTCGGAACATGCATCCTATGCCTGCGGAAGCTGCAGGTCGTGTGCCTAAACAGCAGGAACGGATGAGCCTGAATTCAACTGGTCACTCTGTCAGGGCTTGCTTCTTGCCCTCAACTGCTCCTACTTCCGAGCCTTCGTCAGTGTCAGCGCGGCCAGGATCATCTTCGCCAGCCTTGGGCCCGCTCTCCTCACAAACAGGCTCCTCCCAGGGCCGCAGGCCCAAATGCAGCGGAGTCCTGGGCTACTCAGCTACTCTCTCAGTGACCCTGTCAACGAAACTGATCAGGCATTCTGGAGCTCTTGCGTCCCGTTCAACAGAACCAACGTGAAAACATTGCAGATATCGGAAGGGCGTACCTGTCTTATGCAGACATGCCGCAACTCCCATAACACAGGTACACACACACAGATCCACAAGAGCAGCCTAGTGTCTTTGATGATCCACTGTAGCCTTTGGTGGCCGGCACCCTCGGAGGAGTGCTGCTGCTGCCGCTGCCGACTTCGTCCAGTTCCCAGGGCAACTTGGGACCATCATCGGTGATGACGAACATAATTTGTGTATTCGTATTTCTTCTGAGGGGTGTCCTACTTCGAACTTTGGGAACTGAAGGCAACTGCTAGTATCAGCTGCTAGTGGGCTATTGGGAAATTGTTGCGGGCCGCTGATTGCAAGGTATGCCCAACTGATGCACTAAATTAGTCATCCTGCTGCGACTCTCGGCTGCAGGAGGATGCGTTGCCAAGGACATGCCCCGTCTGAAGCTTCCAGCAGCTTCGTCGTCGTCCTCCTCCCCACGACCGGTTGGCATCGTGTGCTTCATGGGCTTGAACCTGTCCAGCATGCCGGCTGCTAGCGCAATGTGAATGTGAGAGATACCGTGGGCTAAGAAACCGACAGCTCAAATTTCTCTAGCATTCGTGTAGTGCTGCTCGAGGACAACCACACCGGAAGGCCCCGGGCTTTGTCACGTAGACGTCGACACTGCCATACTTTGTAGCCGCAGCCGCCTCTCCGCCGTTTCTTCGGTTCAACTCTTTCTAGTTTCAGCTTTCAAGCTTCGTCAAGAAGGCAACACGACAAAAATCATGCGGACACCAGTGTCGAGCAAGAAAATACGTCCGACAGGCACTGAAGCTCAGCAGTTGTTTGCGCAGTTTCCTTTCCCGAAATGCTTTGAGTATGTAAATTAGCTTCTCGGAGTGTTGCAGGGGCATGGTCTGATCCGCCACCTCCGTGAGCCCGCAAGTACCGCAGGGCGGCTGACTGAACACGGCACCTGGCTGTAGGGTCTTTTGGGTGCATACAAGGGAACTTTGGAAGGGTCAGTGCAAGATTGCCAGACTGTAGTTTGTTAGCATGGCTGTCGACATCAGAACACGAGAAACTTTCTACACACTATCACGTGTCGAAGGCGAAGGATGGACCAGACGGGTCAGCGTTTGGCTTTCTGCCGCCCGTCCCATTCTGCGAATCGGTGACCGGCACCAGAACTCGAATCGTTGGTTCGCATGGCGTTTTGCTTCTAACACAAGGGTTAGTTTCCCCGTGTCCCCTCTCGTGTGCTATGCACGATTTGCCATCACCACTGTGTCTGACGCCAGGTCTGTGCAAACTCATCGTACAGCGGTTTTGGCACCTGTCCTACAGTACTTCCACGCTTGACACAGGCACCGTCGGATGTTGAAGAAATCTCTGCTCATGCCGAGGGCCGGACTAGGCACGTTCTCATAGTCAGGCACCGCTGGGCCCTCCGCCAAGCATTCAAGCTCGCATAAACTCCTAAATCGTTGTGCCAGCAGTTGTTCCTATGTTGTGGTGAAACAGCAAGCGAGTAACTTACGTTCTGCAACTCTGAACGTGGGAGGCTCGTCAAAGATGTGCAAGAGTTGGCACGTTTGCTGCATCCATTTAAGCTCATGTCTACATATGTACGTAGTACATACGCGAAGGAGAAAGAGACATAGAGTGAAACCGGTCCAGTAGATAAAGTCGGTTGCGCCAGATAGTACCGTTCGATGTGGAATTCTTGCAGGCAGTACATAGGTAATTAGTTTGCTTACGAAGCTGCAGAAATTCATTTCCCGCGAGATAGGTAAAGGAAGTTGCAGTCATTGCCACCACTAAGTACAGTTCTTGGTGTCCATGGGTCTTAAGAGTCTTAATTGCTGAGAATTTCGACCGAGCTTGCAGCCTGAACGCCCTTGCCCTTACCGCACATTCCCAACGCCATCATCATCGGTATCCCTGAGTGTTCCTCGCCAAACATTGTCTTCGCCATGGCCATGCCCTCCATGAGGGCCACTGGGGTCAACTGGATCCGATCTGTCACATCCTGGGGAGTCGAACGTGTGCTTGCGCAGGCTCATCGTTGTCACGTTTGCCCAGGGTCTTTTTTGCCAGAGGTTCACACTGGCTAGGTTTCTTTGTACCAGATTCTTAAGGCCTTGGGGTTGGTGATGCAGATTCCCGAAGCTCCAGACCCAGCAACTGGGCCAAACCTAAACGGTCGAACAGTGGTCGAACACTACATAACGCAGCTACATGCCAAGTCCATTAATACTCTAAGACCACTGTTTCCGACCCACAGGGTTGGGGCTCCTGAAGCTAGTCTAAGTGTCTACGATGGAGAGTAAAGGATCCGCGCAGTAAAATGAAGCAAGGCCCCGGCGCCAATGGCGAAGATGCTGTCTACGTTGGTGCGGCTGTTCTCATCCACAAAGATCTGCGACGCGAGAGTTCGGGGGACATTGAGAGGCCCCGGTCCTGCTCAAAGCCGGCAAGTAACAGCAAGAGCACCCGACTCCTCGAGCAACGAGCCTCACCCACGAACCCTTCAATCCCATTCGAAACCACTAGAGCTTTAAAGGCAGAACGTCACAAGCCCGACGTCGGGCCTTGCCGCTCTTGGGGTCCGTCTTGACACCCGCCTCCTCCAAGCCGAGGTCCTAGAACTGCGAGGCAACGGCAACCGAATAAATCTGGATTGGTTTTGCTTCAGGTAGGCTGATGGTCTCGAGGCTTCTCGGTCATCCAGCCCCACGCACCTACTCTCGAGTCAGGCAGGCATGCTCGAGGGTCCCGGCTGTCTGAAACGTGGCATTCATGAGACAGCAAGTTACCTCTCAATGTGAAGAACCACCCCGTCGTAGGGTCAGAGGGTGTTCAGCCTAGTTTTTCGGGGTTTTATTGTGATTCCAAACACTATATTATGTAGCATGATGGCATACTAGAGGTTATGAAAGTAGCACAGGCAATGCCAGCATGTCTGCAGGTCCATTTCCAGAAAACATCCAGCACAGTTGCTTGTCCTTGCTGCTGGGCTTTCTTCCGGTGGCGAACATGACCTCAGAATCTCGTAATCAATTGGATTCGGGCGTTGCGTACGGGTTGCACTTACAGCTTCCGATTAAGTTTATAGCTAAAGTTGCATTCTTGGCTTGGGGGCTGCCTGCATTATCATAATGGGCGAGACCCACGTAAACTCAAAGCAACAAGATGCAAGGCGAGGGATGAGGGAACTCTTGGTTGTTCCGGCGTCCCCAAACACGAACTGCGCGCACCATGACGGACTCTTTTCGACCCGAGTCCTTCCAGGTGATGCATGGCGCTCCTGGCATGAACCCGATGACGTGTACAGGGCAGAATAAGGCTTCGTTGATGGCTTTCCGGAAGTTCTATTGCGAGCAGCAGCAGTAGTAGTTGTTGTTGTTGTTGCAGCGGGAGCAGCTGAAGCAGTAGCAGCAGCAGGAGGAGGAGCAGTTGTAGTTGCCTTTCGTTGGAGTAGCGGCCCAGCGGCAGCAAGCTGTATTTGCGACTGCAGGTCCGCCTAGAATTCGGAAGGGGAGTACGGGTATCTTTTGGACGGATTGAGCTGACTACGCACTGGACAGCCCTGGCATTAGATCCGCCTTCCCGTAGTCGCAATCACAGCATGTGCCACTTTACAGGCAGCCTCCGGCTCCGTAAAAGCCCTCCGCAACTAAGACGAATGGAAACCCAAAAGCACGACGAACGACACGAAAACACAAGCAGACATCCCATGACGACGAAAACCCACATGCGACAAATGAGATTCCCTCGTGGAGACCTTCGCAGCTGCCGGCACGACAACACGATAATGATGCCGTTCGTCACGGGTCACCGTGAACCGAAGGTGTTCACCTGTCACCGTGGTCTGACGTTCCGAAGTACGAAGCATGGGGACATCTGGAGTCATGGCTTTACATGCGTCAGCCCGGGCTCTTGGGATTTGAGGGCGGGACATCTGACAATGCCGACAGTTGTGCGAAACAAACAAATTTGGATGGGCTGGGATCATCAGGGTGCTCTGACTAAGGCTGTTTGAGTACTTCTCGCAATCTGGTCAGAAATGATCGGTGTTCCTCTGATACAGGTGAGATTTGCCTCACATCAGACACACAATCGACGGGACTCACGCAGCCCAAGATGCTGATTTCAAGCTGTGACCCTTCGGACTGAGAATATCACCGGGAACCCCGGGCCACGCTACTTAAAGCATTGAGCCTAAGACTTTTTAAGCTCCCTCAAACTCCCCAAAGGCATAAATGCCTTGCAACCAGGGACACGACCAGTGGAGCCCGCCAACTTTGGCACAAGCGGTTTTCAAAAGCCGCCCAATGCTTCCCAGCGACATTTTTCCAAGCCGAGGTCGGTCGCAAACCTCTGGATTCCGAAACGCAGGCTTCTCAGAGGATACGGGGAGCTGCGAATGGGGCATGTATGTAACAAGATAACCCCGAGGGTACGAAGATGGACGAGATCAGGTATGACCGACGAATGGCCAAACCAAGCAGACGGAATGCTCCGATTTTCCAACTTTCAAGTCCTGCACAATCTGCATTGCTGCGTAGGCTGTTTCTCCAGGCAAAGCTCGCAAGGAAGGTCTGCAAACGAGAATAGGTCGTTGAGCTACGTAGCACACACCTGCAGCAAGTACCAACCCATACACAACTAGCGCAAGGTCTCAACACCTTTCTATGGCGAACCTCAGGCGAACCTCCTTGTGCAACTGAGAACGCATGCTGAAGTAGGAACTCCACTTAGACCCAATACTGCAACAGTCTCCAAGCATGGCCACATTGGTGGACCCAGCATTCCACGAAATAGCCTTTCCAGAAGACGTGCATCAAAAATAAGACAAGTCATTCAGAGTTGCGCATGTGTTGATGCAGTTGTACACCGAGCTCGGAGGAGCGACTCAGCAGTGCAAGCTGTCCAACCTTCCCCTCATCAGGTGCGGGACCCTTGTACACTACGATCCCCTTCAGAAGCTCACTGCGCTCAACATGAGGCCCATCCTCCTTGAAATTCATGACCCAGCTCACCCCATGGAGACCATGTGTTATCAGTCATCTTCGCGCTGTCCAGGATGTTATTCCAGAAAAAAAATTAGCTCTTGGCTGCAGTGTATCCAAGTGGCTGCAAGGATACGTCCGGCGGCTCCGACAGCCCAAAGCCCAGGAGCAGCTCAGACGATGTGTCCACCTCTGCAATGAAATCAATTGTTAAACGTATCTGAGACCCGTTGTGCTGTGCGTGTGGATGTACATGTGAAAAGGGAAGCAGCGCACGGGTCTGAATCTTGGTGTAGCTGTGTGATGTTGGCACTGCTGCGATAGAAGATTCGTTCGAAATTCTTCGTCGAATCAGTAATTGCCAACATTTTGTGCATTGTTCCGTGCCTGCCATCTCGTGCACTACTATGCCTGTAAATGAAGCTAAACGTGAAAAAAGGACAGCGAAGACTCGACGTGTTCAGCGAGCCTGGTGCTAGCCACAACAGCCCTGCAGACTGACAATGCGGGAGTTTCAGAAAACCACAAATAACCTCACAGTATATGTAAGCCCAACAAAACCGGATCTCCATCCAGACATTAACATGAATTCTTGCCGCGATTCTGCAAATTCCTTCTCCCCAGACAAGGGCCAACACACACGAAGCCCCAAGATGCAAACGCCAGAAAAAAGGTAGACACATGCATATACGTCCTGAAACATCATGACATAAAAGCACACAGGCAGACATACTAAAATCTATGCCCAGATTTGTTCAGACAACAGCCCTGGCAGAGAGTGCATCGAGCCTGTTAATTAAGTGCCATGTGCAGCTGAGCCAACTGTAACGCTCAGTAGAACCCTATGTAGAGACACAAGGCAACAGGTAGACAAAATCGTGGGCGACGTACAGCAGCTAAGACGAGCCGCATTGCCCCACAATTTGAAGACGAAGCTGGTCGCTTTCAGTTTGTTTCAGCTTGCAAGTGATCCGTCCGAGGCCCCTGCGATTTCCTGCTTGTCCAGCTGAACGTGCGGCTGCCTCGTCCTCAACAAGAACACGGAAGCAGCGCGTCGGCTCTGCAGACGCTCGCAGCTCGGACACTCCTTTGGCGACTTATTGTGATTCGTGCTGCCGTGCAAAGAATTATTCTGCAACAAACGCTACCAACGATTGAAAAGCGGCCAGTACAAGCAGTCGACATCAAGCCCCAATTCTTCCCATACATCCCGACTCTCGAAGGATCGTAACCCTGAGCTCAGCCCATGTCGGACAAGAGCCTCGCTTCTGAATCTGGCAGCCCAGCAAAGTACTTGAAGGCACGGCACCATGCCCGACATGACGATACTAGTGACTATACACACTATGGACTATATGGGATATGTGGCAGAAACTGCGCCCCTTCAAAATGCCCAACCAAGACTTCTCGTGATGATTCAGCTTGTTCCCTGCGCCATGAGCATGCACACCGTTCTGTTTGCCTGCGATTGCATTTACCGCGCTACCAAGCCCCGGGAGAAGAGGCTGGGTTGCTTACAAAGTGCTGAGATGCAACGAGACGTTTTTGGAACCAGTAGATGCGAGATAAGATCGTTTCGTGTCATAATCCTCCAACCACGTCCCCAGAACCGACACTTCAATCCGATTGTGAACAAGTAAACATGCTCGAAAATCTTCGAACCGCCCTAAAGCCCCACCACGCCCCGTAAGCTACACAAACCGATGGACACATCTCCAAAGCATCCTTGCGATGCGGCCTGAAATGCTGCAGGAGTGAGGCAAATGTGCCAGCGGCAAGAAATGGAAGGGAACTTCCTTTGGCCTCAGGAAAAGGTGCACAAATAATTGCGATGGTCTGGGTAGTTCAAGCACGCCAATTGCCAGTGTAATTCTGTTCCTGACTATGGCGGAAAGTGATTCTGTTCCTGAGTATGGCGGAAATGCCGGACACGGCTACCATCCTCAGGAAGGAAAAGAGCTCCTGACTTTGCTTCATTTTCTGAAAGATTCTTGCATAGACTGTTTGACCGGCTGCCGCAAATCCTGCACTGGATCCTGCTCTAAGCCTGCAGCCCGGCCACCCATGCACGATTATGAAGAAACGTGTGTAGGGTTTACGGAGTTCATACAGGTTCGAGAGAAGAGTATGTTTAGGGCCCAGGGCCATGTAAATAATACGGACACATCGATCGGATAGATACACGAACAGTTGCTTTGTTTTCGGTCATACACTCAAAAGGTAGCATGCATGAGAAGCCAGTGTATACATTGAAACACCCGGAAACCGAATCGATTGCATGAGCCACCCTGCGTAAGAACATTGGTCCATGTCTACAGTATTCTCATGACTGCTAGGCTACCTATGGTCAAATGATGGTGCCACAGGAATTGATGACCCCCACTGAACCAAGATCAAGCTGGAAGGACTCCTGAAACGGCGACCATGACTAAGAGCCAGACCCACTTCGCTGCGGAGAGGGCCTCGAAAGGTGTCGTATGGCACAGCACCACAGCGCTATATCTCTTGTCCCGGTCCGGCAGCTGGCCTGTGCTGTAAACAGGCCCTCATCATTGAGGAACGCCCCGGACGAGGCGGACCTGGGTAGGGATTCGGTGTTCGTCTTTAGGGCACTTTTCAGGGCCAGGATGGATTCCAGTTGCTAGTGCGAGTATCTTCTTGTTGCCCTGGGCACCCCGAAACTAGGCCACTAGGCAGAGCCGGTTGTCGGGGAGCCTCGAGTGACCGAGCGAATCGAAGGCTCAGTTCCTGTATCCTCGTAGACACTTCGTCCACCAAGGCCCCCCAGCCTCAACCTTTGAACCCAAACCCACTCGGGAAAAAACCCTGAGTGTACCTTCCCGTGACATCAAGCTGTCCTTTGGTCTGCGACTACCCCGGAACTCCGAAAATGCCGCTTCTGAACGCCAAGCGCCAGCTATTTTCCGATTTGAGCCCAGGAGAGTTAGAGCCTCAGGGCAGGGAAGGTCGATTTTAGCGCTTAGATTTTGTCCCAATCTGCCCACCAGGATTCCAACCAGGCATGGCATTGACAACGATCCGAATGTTTCTTTGCACCTGCAGAGAATGCCTCCATGTTTCCGAAACCCTGCAAAACCTTCGCCGTCGTCTCCTAACTCATCAAACTGCAACCGGTGACCGCTTACTCCCGTCGATGCGCCAGAAGGCCAAGCCCTGGGACCGTACGACTCAATTCTGGCCTCGAGAACTATGCCATGGCCCCTGAACAGAAGATCTGACCCCTGACCCTTATGCTTACCCCGCTACATGCTGAAGTTGGAGCCATCAGACGACCACCTCCCCTCGTCGTGATATCCCGCGCCACTTTTGCTTCGAGGAGAGCGCTGAGATTGAGAGCTTTGGGGGCAGCACTCTTTGCAAAACATGTGTCGTGGACCACCGCCTGCATCCACTGCGGGGCATGCGGTGGGCACACAAGCTTCAAAAGCCCAAGCCCTTCAGGCGAGGCACACTTCCGAAAAATAGTTCTCGATGGGAGGGGACTGGATTCCAGAGATTTGGCTCGGGCATAGCTTACCGATGTGAGGAAACTTGACTCCCGGCCTAGGTTACAGTATCGATGGGAGGCCATTTGATTATCGATGAGGCTCGACTTGCGATCCCCCACATCTCGTGATACAGGAAAGGGTTTTTAAATGCATCCGGTGTGCTGAGGTCCTGGCGAATTAGAAAGACTCCTCCACCAACTCTTCAAGGTTGTCTAGCGTATGCGGAAGCGCCAGTTGCACCACATTCCGACAACCTTCCACTTCCCCTTGGAAGCCCCTCTGCAGGAAATCCGGAACAAACTGTTCCACTGCAATATCCATGACGGAGGCCCCACCAGCATCCCGCAGGTCCACCTGTGCTCCCAAAAGAAGAAGAGCGGCGGCACCGTCATAATGTGCACCCATGATGGCATTCATCAGTGGCGTCCGTCCGTTGACTCGATATGCGACCCTGGTCAAGGGAGTGACCCTGCCACATCTGTACTCAAGAGACTTCAAGGCAAAGACGATTCCCAGCGGGGACAGCAGTGGGAAGTGGGACCTGTCGTTCACATCTGCCCGCATCGAGATCAGCCGAAAGGCCATTTCAGGTGTACCCCCGCGGAAAATCATCGCGTAAGAAAGGGAGTCTTGGAGGCGAACCGCACCTCGCGCCGCGAGTTCATCGATCGCCGCCCTGGCTCCAAACATGCATGCGAGGGTGAAAGGATAGACCACGCCCAGGAAGGCCTGGTCGAGATTGCCACCAGCCTCGCAAAGAAGACGCAGACCCTCGGAGTTGTCGGCTATGGCCGCAGCACATGCCGGATAGCCTCGGAAAGAGTCGTCCACCCTGGCCCGGCCTGCGAGAAGCGTGCGCGCAGCATCGTTGTGTTTATGGAAGAGGCACATGTTCAAGGCCGTATCACCGCGGCGAAATCCAGTAACTGGATTTGCTCTCCTGGTCTTGGCATTGGGGTCTGCCCGCAAGTCTAGCAAGCCTTGCACAAGTGCTGCATCCCCTCGGATCGCGGCATAGTGCAAAGGTGACCACCCTACACTGTCCACTTCCTTGACGCTTACGAAGCCATTCTGGTGAAAGAAGCGCGACACTGCGTCGAAGCTGGCCTCCAATCCTGAACCTGCTGGGCTTGAAAAGTCTGGTATGAGCTCAAGCTCTTGGAAACGAGGGAAGCCTCTCATGTGAACCGGCTGGAGATTCAGCAGGCCACGATAGCCGACCAGATCATGATCCTTCAAACTGACCATCAGCTTGCGCTTGAGGGCACCAAGCAGAACTTTTGCGAGCCTGGCGCCGTCCTCGCTGTCTGTGAACTGGCCTTCCCCGACAGGCCCTCCGAGGGTTGTGGCGGGATCGTTCACTAAATTCACATCTCGGGAGCTCTGGATGAGTATCCAAGTGTGATCTACGGACAGCTCTCGGCAGGTCTTCTCCATGCGGCACCAACCCCGTTCCTCAGATCTCCAACTGTCACAAGTTCAAAGCAAAAGAACGATCTTCTCGCTGGTCCCCCAGTCAAGGTTTTGGCTTTAGGATTTCACTTTAGATTAAATCGGCACTCCCTTTCGGGTTCTTCGGGTGTACTCGGTTGGAGGTGAAACCAATGTTACGCAGAGTCTGCTTGACAGAAATTTTGGGTTAGAACAAATTCAACCATCCTCGAACAATTAATCACATCACTTGATGGGAGGAGCCCAGTATGCTTCGGCACTCACGCTAGGACATGCTCGATGCATAGTCGGTTGCGGTGGCACACATCCAACACCTTCGACCGGAAACTTAGACTTTAGACTTTAGACACCAAAACCACTTTCGAACATCTTCGGATTCATAGTGTTTGAAGGAGCCTCGCTCCAGGGGTAAGGCTGAGGTAAGGCTGATTTGGGTTTTAGGGCGCGTGGAAAAACAAGATTGATTGCTCTGCTGTGAGACATGCATCTGCCCAGGTGTACTGCGTGAACAACCGTGACGAGGTGTGGCCGGTGATGACCGGGCAAAGCGCGAAGAAGAACGTGCAACGGGCAATGTACTCTGGGATGCTGCCAATAGCCGACTCAAGAGCATGCCGTGAATGCTGAGGACACGAGAAGTAATCATACCATAAGAACAGCGGCGTCGAGAAAAGCTTCTTGGTCGGCAGGCCCTTGCAAGTGGGCTGCATGAACTCTGTCACAAAGCTTGGATGCACCACCTGCACCTCAGACCTCAAGCGCCGCAATGCATCCTGGAGCACCTGTAGCTGCTCGCATTGTGGATCAGGATGCCTGCCCCCGACCCACTGGTGTGACACGAAAGCAGCGTTTCCCAAGCCGACGTCATACATGACGAGAACCCCTTGGGCCTTTAGCTCTTCGTGCGGACGGACAGCCCTCATCTTCAAAACGTCCTCCAGAGGCACCGTGTACATTGGGAACAACAGCCGTGTGGCTGCAGCAATGTCATCATCGCATGTGTCACGCAAGGACTGTGCAAACCTCTCAAGTGGGGTTGACACCGATGATCTTCCCCGGGGGCCACAACATTGCATTGCGAAAGGCCACGAAAACTCAAAATACCTGTGAAAACTGCGGACCGGCGAGAAAACTTGCAATCTCCAATCCAGAAAGAGGTGTCTGCATTGCTTGTCGCACTAGGTCACTAGGTTCAACTTGTGTTTGCACCAATTGAGGCTGGCCGGATGTGTTTTTCAATCACGGGCTAGGTCCAACACGCATTAATGGACGAGGCCTCTACACATGAAAATGGAAGCACCCGATTTAGTCAGTGTCTGGAATCCTAACCCTCCAGCCTGCACCCGAACCTCCTCGGAAACTCGCAGATCCTACCTACCACAGCAAACCCTCAACGTCGACACTGGAAGCTCCGTAACCCCAAGGACGAGAATCCTTGAACCTTTGAAACTTTGCTTGCCGGCGAAAGCACTTGGCGATCGGAAGATCATCAACCTGTGCCATGAACCTCGACAAAGAAGGTCTTAGGAATTAGGGTCGAGGCTGGGCTTCACACACACACACACACATATATATATATATATACGTATGTATATATAAACACAAAATATAAGTACACATACACATACTAATATGCATTTAAAACAAGCTATGAATATCAAGATTAGTACGGCTGTAAGGGTATGTATATGTATATATATATACATGTATGATGTAACTCAACAAACTCCATAATATCATACAACTAGGATAACTACAATCATCAAAATACGTCATGGTACAGTACAGCAGAAGACTATATTGTCGTATTTCTGTTGTATCATGCCATACTGCATAGTTTCGTAGCAGTTTTCTTCATATGCCATGTTGTTACTACTACTACTACTACTACTACTACTACTACTACTACTACTACTACTACTACTACTACTACTACTACTACTACTACTACTACTACTACTACTACTACTACTACTACTACTACTACTACTACTTATTGTATAACAATACTGTTACCATTATGCATATTGTTACTATTAGAGATAGACTATGTGCACATACTGTCGGAAACGTTGATTTGGGACCTGCCAAAACAGGATTTCGCAATTCTTTAATTGTAGTTGAACTTTTCGATCAGGTGGCAGCTAAACCAAAAGATGCTGCGGCTTTGGGCCAGGCAGGAACTTGCACGGTGGACCGAACAGCAGTTGCCTATTCCTGCGCGCTCTTGACGTTGAAGATTGTGAGATATGGAACCCGTCAAAGCCGAATCTTATGGCGCTGCCAGCCTCGCCCTCTGGCCTCAGTCCCCAAGGTACACTAGGAGAAGTGGCTCAGGGATTCTAAAACACCACCTTAGATACGAAAATGCACTGTGAACCCCCGTAAATGCCTCTATATTATTGACATGCATGTATATATATATATATACATAATATAATATACCTTCCATTACAAGCCCCTTGCCAAACCTGCTGAAAAGGAGCGACTCCTCTTGGTCTAAGAGCAAAGTCAGAGCTTTGCCCTCTTTCCCCTGCCGGGCGGTGCGCCCCACCCGGTGTATGTACCTCATTCGGGGCTCCAGGGCTATTGAAGGGTTTGGCGTACCAGGCTTAGTGCTTCCGAACCGGCTGCTCTTTGCGTTCAGGTGCTGATCGCGGTCTCCGGGGGCCATGACATTGAGCACAAGCGTAACCTGCTCTCCCGCACACAGACTCGGAATGCTTAAGGCAGCTGTAATCAAGGTGTAGAACTTTGCTCGTGTCATAAACAAGAGACCTACAACCTGAAGTGCTTGAAGCATTAAGCACTAGACGAACTGCTCAGTACTTAAAGAGCCCTTGCGCCGACGAGCGGCATCGGGGTAGTCCATGCCCCTCTCTGAGGCCATCGTCGTGAAGAGCACAGCAGCTCGGCTCTCATTGAATTCCTGCATTGTCCGAGCCAGAAGAAACCAAAACCAAAATCTGACGCACAAGACTTACAACGAAATCCATGCATGGATGGAACTGTATCCTCACACGGCAGTCGTGCCAGAACAATCGTTCTCTCTGCAAACCTATGTAAAGCTGCTCCAAACTTTCGACTCGGGGTGGGGTCGCTTGCGACACTTGGTACCATGAAAAGGTGGGCACCCAGGAATGTTGTAAAGCGTTACAAAGCCTGAGCTTCCGCCAAAGGATGTTTGCAGGAAGCGGGGCGCCAGTAGCTTAGTTCCGTCGTGGGCATACTTGAGGTCCGAGGCACTGTGTGCGACATCAGGCGCGCATTCGGGTTCACGCGATTGTGAAGCTCTAGTATCCTGGAGGGTCGACACCAGCTTGACTTGACTGAGTGGACAGCGGCTTTCAAACATAACTCGTGACTGGTACAACTTCACGGTCCAAATCGAAATAATATTGATTGGTTTGGTGATTCTTGCTGGTGCTGAATCTGTGGGGCTCGACATGACGGAGTATCAAGGAGCAAAGGCTACAACATAATCACAATTAGCTGGCTCTGCTATCTCAGTGGTCTCCTGCTCAGCGATCTGTCTCGATTGTTATTGCATGGGTGGCAGTGCTACACTCGAGAGTATGTTCGTTTGTGTGTGTGTGTGTGTTGGATCTGAGCCTTGACCCTTCCTGCTTTACGCTCTCGGAAGGGTTTAAGTCTTGCAATCCACGGGGTCTGGTTTAGTTCAGGGAGACTGACTTGATGGTGGCATAAATCGTGGTTGAGCAAAGCGTTGAAGAGTTGGGGCGCCCAAAAGCTGAACACATCGCGTGCTCAAGCTGGATCACAACTTTTCTGTCTCTACGTTGCCGCACATGCCTGTCAGCTTCCGTCGATTGTGTGCGCTGTCCTCATTCCCAATTGTTCCCGAAAGAGATGCGCCACAAATGTCGCGAATCGTGACGTAGGGAAGAACACGAGGACCTGCCGACACTCTGAGAAGAAGCGTGAGGCTCCCACAGGCATGGACACGCAGCTATAAAGTTGGCGCACAAACCTGGTTGCTTGCGAAGTCTGCCCCTCCAACCCACATGGCAGGAAAGCTGCGAGGAGACTCGTGTCGAAAGCTGGAGACGTCCGAAATCAAATTCGGCACGGGCCGAAGTCACAGGCACCTTGTGGGAAAGCGGGTTGTCGCGGATCTCCTGATCCAGGGCATTCCTGAGGAAAGCCGGGCTCTGTTAGCCAGGGAGTCGAGCTACCTCCTAGTATATGTATGTATGTATATATATATATATATTATATACATATTACCTCATGTCACATCTGTATAAAGAAAGGAAGTACTCTGCCATGATATGCCGACCACAGTAAGACACGATCTTACATGCGGGCCAGGTGCCGAAGAGCTGTGCCAAGAAGGAGAGGTGGTGCAAATGCCACCGATTGCTCCACCGCCTTCATGCAGCTGTCTAGGACGCGGGGTGTCATGTGCTGATGAGAGACAGTTGTTATTTGCTCACGCTGCAGATTCAATTGATCCAGGGGTTGGCATTAATTCATCAGCCCAGAGCCCGCACCACAGGAATGAGTACATCAGCACAATCCTTCATGTAAGAATATCCTTGCTTACAAGTCAACACCGCATGCCGAAGGCTGGATACCCAAACGAAGACATGGGCCCAGAGTTGTTCGTCATCGTGGATTATGTCGAGATGCGTCCCGTCCTTCTTGGTGCGGTGCCTGGCCTCGTGCGTCGGTATGCCTCTGATGCAGTTCAGCTGCCGAAAGCCGGGTCGGCAGAAGCGTGCGTAGAGCTGCTTCACCTGCTGTGATTCCCGAGTAAGTGCATGTAATCTTCCGTTCCAAACACGAGGCATAATTCACAATGCGACTCACCGTGCACAAGCCGAAGACGTCAGGGAGTGATCAGCGCAATGTAAAGTCTGGCATGCCCAGTCGTGCCTCATCAGATATAGTCGCAGACACCAGCATTGCTTGCCGCTGCGGCTGCTTTGGCAAGTACGCAAGAAATGCCGGCAGGCTCTCCTGACAACAGGAGGGTGGACAAAACTACCGAAAGAATCCGACGAACCAAAGACGACCAAGACTGCAAACCATCATTTACCAGCTTGCATCATGAAGCCAGATGCCTTTCACGATGTTTCAACGAACCACGGTTTCAAGTGCTTGCCAGTGCTGAAAACCCAATGCCACTCACTCTCCTTGCGTAATAGAACCTGTTGAGCCGTGTGGCTTCGTGCAAGAGCCGGTCGCACTCATCCAGCACCAGTATGGGCAAAGCTTCGAAAAGGGTCTCAAAGCCTCAGCATTCAGTGGGATGTCGAAAGGGAGCCAGCTCAGTTCGGACTTTAGGACAAGCAGTGACCCTCAAAACAAGGGCTACATGAGCCACACTAACCCTTAGCACCGTGAGTCCATGGGCCACTTCCTCACTGCATCCCAGGAACGTGAGGTGGCCTCGAAATGCTCGACGAGCTTCGCCTGGAACTACATGGACGCAACTTCTTTACAGGTCAACGCTCGCCTGCTGCACTCTGTGTGCAGGAGAGGTCCGGTTGGTAGAATTCATGAATGCCTGCTGTACTGCATCATTTCGATGATGCGTATGATTACTGCTCCGCGTAGTCCTAGCAGCAGCAGCAGTAGCAGCAGTAGCCAGTAGCTGGGTGGCAGTGGTAGTGGTAGTATTGGCGGTAGTCGTAGTAGTAGTAAGTAGTAGTAGTAGTAGTAGTAGTAGTAGTAGTAGTAGTAGTAGTAGTAGTAGTAGTAGTAGTAGTAGTAGTAGTAGTAGTAGTAGTAGGATAGTAGTCGGGTAGTAGTAGGATAGTAGTCGGATAGTAGTCGGATAGTAGTAGGATAGTAGCAGTAGTAGCAGTAGCAGTAGCAGTAGCAGTAGCAGTAGTAGTAGTAGTAGTAGTAGTAGTAGCAGCAGTAGCAGTAGCAGTAGCAGTAGCAGTAGCAGTAGCAGTAGCAGTAGCAGTAGTAGTACGCGCTTTGCGTGTATTTGACGCTGTGTTTTTTGGTGCATGCATGTCCGAAACACACGGCAGGGACGTCATTTCCGCATGCGCATGTCGTTGTGAGCCGAGCGCCCTGGATCGTGGGTTTTATCGGATGAGTATGATGATATTGTCTATCACCGTGATGATGATGTTGATGGCGACAATGAATTTGACGGTTTTGAATGTTACTGTTATGATGATGATGTCAAACATGCTCGCGATTAGCCCCCCCCCCCCCACCCCCCCCCCAGGTCAATGATGATGTTGATGAGTAAGATGATGTTGATGAGTATGATGATGATGATGACTGTATTTTAGGTCGTTCTGGCGCTCGGGTCTGCATGGTCCTTCTTTAAAGAGATAAAAACGAATAACCACGGAAATGCTGTAAATACCAGTATATCTAGGCCCTGAGTATGATGATGTTGATGAGTATGATGATGATGATGAAGATTTTGAGTGTTGCTGGTGTTATGATGATGATGAGTATGATGATATTGTCTATCACCGTGATGATGATGTTGATGGCGACAATGAATTTGACGGTTTTGAATGTTACTGTTATGATGATGATGTCAAACATGCTCGCGATTAGCCCCCCCCACCCCCCCCCCAGGTCAATGATGATGTTGATGAGTAAGATGATGTTGATGAGATGATGATGATGATGATGACTGTATTTTAGGTCGTTCTGGCGCTCGGGTCTGCATGGTCCTTCTTTAAAGAGATAAAAACGAATAACCACGGAAATGCTGTAAATACCAGTATATCTAGGCCCTGAGTATGATGATGTTGATGAGTATGATGATGATGATGACTGTATTTTAGGTCGTTCTGGCGCTCGGGTCTGCATGGTCCTTCTTTAAAGAGATAAAAACGAATAACCACGGAAATGCTGTAAATACCAGTATATCTAGGCCCTGAAACCAAGTCGCAGATGTCCCAAAAGCAGGAAAAGCATGGCGTCAAATACACGCAAAACTAGTAGTAGTAGTAGTAGTAGTAGTAGTAGTAGTAGTAGTAGTAGTAGTAGTAGTAGTAGTAGTAGTAGTAGTAGTAGTAGTAGTAGTAGTCGTATAGTAGTAGTAGTAGTAGTAGTAGTAGTAGTAGTAGTAGTAGTAGTAGTAGTAGTAGTAGTAGTAGTAGTAGTAGTAGTAGTCGTAGTATAGTAGTAGTAGTAGTAGTAGTAGTAGTAGTAGTAGTAGTAGTAGTAGTAGTAGTAGTAGTAGTAGTAGTAGTAGTAGTAGTACTAGTACTAGTGCTAGTACTAGTAGTACTAGTAGTAGTAGTAGTAGTAGTACTAGTAGTAGTAGTAGTAGTAGTAGTAGTCGTAGTCGTAGTCGTAGTCGTAGTCGTAGTCGTAGTCGTAGTAGTAGTCGTAGTCGTAGAAGTAGTAGAAGTAGAAGAAGTAGAAGCAGTAGAAGAAGTAGAAGAAGTAGTGGAAGTAGTGGAAGTGGGGAAGTAGTAGTAGTAGAAGTAGTAGTAGTAGTAGTAGTAGTAGTAGTAGTAGTAGTAGCAGTAGTAGCAGCAGCAGCAGCAGCAGTAGTAGTAGTAGTAGTAGTAGTAGCAGTGGCAGTGGCAGTGGCAGTGGTAGTGGTAGTGGTAGTAGTGGTAGTGGTAGCTGGTAGCGGGTATCTGGCAGCAGCCAGTAGTAGCTAGTGGTAGTTAGTGGTAGTCCGATCACCCCAAAAGTTGTCAAGATTCTCGACCCCCAAAATATGCATGTCAGAAACATGAGGCTGAGAGAGGGACCAATTCTCTACTACTTTTAAGCCTCAGTAGCACCCCCACCCCAAACTCAGAAACTCCACATCGAAGAGGGTTACTCACCCCATGCCCAAGTCCTACATCAACGACCACCCAGTCGAGATGCTAATGTTCCCACAAGAATGGCCGGCCGTCGTCGTCGAATGGCCGCCTCATCCTGCGATCCGTGCCACGGCCCTCGAGTCTTCAAAAACCGAATACCCCACAATCCATACATGGAGCTGTTGAGCTGGATCCCGTCTGAAAGCCTGTACCCCTTAAACACACATCGTAGGCCTTTGCCCGCGGCACGCCACCAATGACGGGCACCACCTGCCTTGGCCGCCCCACGAAGTCAACCGTCTTTTGCAAATTGCATGGTGACCGATTCTGGTCTAGGATTTACGGGTGGCTTTTGCGAGGTTTGGGTTCAGGGGCCCAGAGCCGCAACACCAAACCGTGGGACTTCATGGTATCCACAACTCTCCACATAGAATTTCGGATTTGGAGTCTTCCGAGATCTCAGCCCATAATTTTAACCAAGACATGCGGCATGGGCCTGGACGTTTTGGGGCATGCAGCCATTCGTCATTCAGGCCAGTGGGAGACATCCTGTCCTGACCTCCAACACATCCCCGAGTTTTTTCCACAAAGTTTCGGCGCAATCCAGCAACGATACGGCTGAGTGCAGGCTGCCTTGATCCTCTGCGATCAGGTCTAGGCAAAGGATCTGAATCTAGGCCCGAGAGCTCGCCTGCACCCGATGAAGAGTTCGAGTTCTCTCAAATTTCTCTCATCTCACATCATGGACCTCCTGCTCTCATGGGCCAAAGGCTTACCGACAATCGGAAAATCCTTTCGGCTTCACCCTGGCAAGCTGCAGTTTGTGGTAGGAGCACAGTGTCTCAGCATCCCTGGCTATTTGTATCACCAGTTCGCCTCAGCCACGCAGCCGCGCACGAAGGCTCACTAACACAAAGCACGGATGGAAACACATGAAAGGATCTGAGCTGTTTTGTCCATGAGCTGTGAAGCTGCCAGTGTCGGGCTGAGTCGGGTGAACGTGTGGAATGGCACCTGTCCGCCGGTTGGCTACTGGATTTGAGCTTCATTCTACAACCAAAACCACGCCTTTCGTGGGAAGCGGTACGCATGTTCACGATGCCCAGGTGCGTGAAGGTGCTGCGATGAGCACTCCGATTCCTGGAGGCGGATTCTTGAGAAGATGCTCGACAGCAGGGATCAGGTAGACGAGCGTCTTGCCAGTACCTCCAAGGCTGAGAAATGTGAGAACAGAGTTGAGCCGGCTTATTTCGTTTGGGCTGATGTCGGAGCTCTGAAGCTGAAGCATTCTCTCTCGGCCAGCCTGTCCGAGCATTGATGACGAAGTCAGTTCCTGACAGACCAAAGAGGCATCGACAAAGCGCGGAACAGAATTCGGAACTTGCAGTGTAGCTGCAGCTCGGGAAGCTATGGTAAGCCGGGACCACCACGAACATGAAAGTGAATGGCATGAACCGGAAGGGAAAGCTTACCCCAGACCCAAAACTCAACAGCTCGACTCTCCTATCGACTCTTATCCATCTAAGCACCTACGTCTCATGTTACACCCCCCTCTCCTTTGGCATCCGGCGCGAGGAGTTCTGGGAGCACCTTCGAGCCGTTGGTGCTTTTGTCCATTGAGGATAGCAGGACAAGTCAGAGTCAAGGGATGCCAGAGTTTACGGCGGTCATGATGGCAGGTTCAAACGAACAAGAGGAGTCACAGGAAAAGCGAGCGAGAGAAGCAGTAGTTTGATTAGGTATTTCTCGGAATCTGAGAACCACCGAATTCCAAGTCGGCATTTTTTCATGTTTCAGCTACCCGGTACCCTTCGACAATGCTCTGCCTCTGCCTGGACTGGGGTTGCTTCCGCAAACCGGAAAGCTTCCTGAAGTCCACGCAGCGTGCTCGGATGGAGATCCTCAGCTAGAATCAGCTAGAACGGCTGTTTCACTGCATCCCCCTAACTCCCCGCAACCCCCGCTGCCGAGCCGGCGACAAAGGAGTCGAAGGACACGCCGGAGCCGGTATTCAGCTTCCTCGTCAGCTGAGGCTGTGAAGGGCGTCTTTCCGACGAGAGTAAAGGATTATAAGCCTTTTATTAAGCGACAAACACTGGAGGTCGCATGTTCAGCATCTTCTATCTGCTTCATCCTCCTTTTTACCTGCACGTACTGCTGAGCATACCTATGTTCAACAAAGGCGAGCAACAGCTACCTTCACTACATTGCAGGGTCACGATACAAACTGTTATTGCAGTTATACAGGCGGGAACATGTTGAAAAGCTCCTGGCAACACCTGACAACCATAGTCGCGAGAAGGCTTTAAACCACAACTGCTATTGCGCATTCCATTCCAAGGCTCTGCTTCAAACGCCGCGACATCATTGAACGCCATCGGAGCTGGCTCACGATCCATGACCTGGCAGGATCGACTCCAAGCTCTTGCATTCTTGTTGTCAATCAGTTGTCGGTGGCCTCTTTCTTGCTGGCTCCAAGTCGTCACGGCAATTCAGGTTTCCGGTTGCTTTTCAAGGTGCGCGGCTATCCTAATCCTACCCAACTCCGACCCGAATCTCTGTCGATGTTTCGCACCAAGGCCCCAGCCGGGCGGTGACTGGCAAGCGAGAGCGCCAGAGGCCGGCAGCCGGCATCCCCAACATGCTCGGGCCAGCCTTTGGGCGGAGCATGTCACCGATGCATTCGAAGCTGCTCTACTAGTCGACTCAGACGTAGCGGGGCCGGCGGTTTCGGGTTTCATAGGATGGGCCTGTGGGTTTTGGATTGGTTGTCCTTGGTTGGAGTCTACAGGCTTTTGTATACTGTGGGATTCAAGCATTTGGCAGCATTGAACTGTACAGTCTGCATGGTCCAGGGGAAGGCACCATTCGATGTGCAAAGAGCTCAGTACGAGCTTGAGCAGCTGCGATTCGGACTCAAGCTGAATCAAGCATCAACACCTGACTGGGAAGACATCGCAGCCGGACATAAGCACCGCTTTCGCTTTTGTAAACAGAGGCATGGAATTCGTCTAGCTAGTCGCATGGCTTGCCACAGCCATCTTTGTGTTCTCTGTAGAACTTCTCCTGGAACTTGGACATTGGGGAAGACCTTGGCTGTCTAGTCAATGTGGCACTTGATTTCCCTAGGTGACCCTCTTCACAGCGTTTCCCCGGTGCTTTAATACATGTTGTGTTGGCAGTCTTTGCGTGCAGGGGGGCCACTGATTATGGGAGGCCTGAGGCTGGATTTGCATGGCTTCTTAAGACGTCCTGCATTGCATTCAACTATAGGTAATGATTGACTAGTGCTGTCCGCAACTGTTTGCATTAGGTGGGGGCCCCAAGCAAAACAGATAGCACATTAAAGAGGATGATCACCTTGCGTGGACTCTTGCTCTTGGTTCGCAATCCGCTCCCTGCGCACGAGGCAATGAACAAGGCATCTCTGCCCAATGTGCGCTTAGTTCCGTGTCTATAATGGGGGCAAGCGGTTGCTCACACCCAGATTGGCCTGAAATTCGCCTAACCTGACTTGCAGACAGGAGACGACGTAAGCCCAGGGAACCAGTCCGGGTTCGAGTGGATCCCATCCTGCATAGCCCACCTCCGATAGAACACAACTTGAGATTCACCAAGCTCAAGGATTCATTTCACAGACGTCTCGTGATATGCCCTTAGCCTTAACGTCACCTTAGACTCCGATCCTCTGCCAAGTCTAGAACATTCACATGCTGTTACCTTCAGCCTGAAGAGCTGCTGTGTTCTGAGTTTCTTACAGAGAGGCTTGATGCACTCCACCGGGATTCATTACACCACACCCCAAGCCATCAAATATGAATCTGGAAACCCATCAGTTCGAGCCCCCAAAACCTCTCCCGTAGTCCAAGCAAGGTCCGACACGAAGCTTCTCAGAAGAGGCTTGAAGACTAATGCGAGCAGCCGCTTATTATACGGCGAAATTCGCAAGCTTTCCCTCCCAAGCAAACTGAAAGTTTCGGGCACACCTGAACCATACCATACTGCGCGAGATACGGCGGATGGAAAGCAAGACTTACGCTTCGAAGTGATATGCTACAGACGCTAGTAGTTCAAGCCCCCCAAACCCTAATCTCTGAGTGTTTATAAGCCCCTTCCGCCTACGTAAACCCTCAACCCCTTGCAATGAACTCTCACAGACAAAAGAATCGGTCTGAGAGAGCTGCTAAGCTCCGCCCAAGGGGCTTGACGACTTTGAAGCACGCCGAGCCCGGCTTTGGCACCTCGCACGGGGCGAGCTCGGCCTGGCGGAGACGTGAGGGACTCGAAGGAAAGGCTGAAACAAACACAACGACAAATCTCTCCTCTCTTGCTCTGTCTTCCTTCTCTCTCAAGGGTTAACAGCCTCACGTTGTTACCAACTGCGCCGTGGAAGCTCTTGCTCCCCTCGCTCTCCCTCTCTCTCTCTACTTTGTTTCTCTGTCTCTTGCCTGCTTGCTTGCTTGCTGACGGGTATGAGGGCAGAAACCCCCGGGCCCTCCGCCACTCAACGGCTCGCGTCTGTCAAGCCTGAGCTGCTCCTTCCGGGGTTGGGAGTGTTTCCGTTCCCCGTCTGTGCCTGTTTACCCCGGCCCCCCCAACAACCAAGCCTCCTAAACCCTCACGTTGCAAACCCACCAGGCGGCAGACGGGTCATCCGGGGCTCCCCAGTGCAACTACCCGCGGCTTCGTGGCATACTCTCTTCCCCGAACACAGCACCACCTCAAGGAACACTGACTCTAGCAACACCTCCTGGACCACCTCTCTGTCTCTCTCTCTCTCTCTCTCTGCCTGGCCTTGAGGGCCGGTCAAGGCCCCCGGGCTTCAAGCCCACCCGATGTGTTATTGGGTCGAGAGGCGTGACGAACGAGTGTAGGCTCAACCTTTGGCTAATGCCATAAAGTATACGATGACGAGATAGTTTAGCCGTACACTCTCATCTACACATGCATGCTGAAGTAGCTCCCCCGAAGCAGCACCTCTCCGTCTCTCTCTCTCTCTCTCTCTCCCTCTCTCCCTCTCTCCCTCTCTCCCTCTCTCCCTCTCTCCCTCTCTCCCTCTCTCCCTCCCTCCCTCCCTCCCTCCCTGCCTCCCTCCCTCCCTCCCTCCCTGCCTCCCTCCCTCCCTCCCCCCTCCCTCCCTCTCTCTCCCTCCCTCCCTCCCTCCCTCCCTCCCTCGCTCGCTCTCTCTCTCTCTCTCTCTCTCTCTCTCTCTCTCTCTCTCTCTCTCGGGCATTGCCCGGGTACTGCAGCATCGGCACGCCAAGGAAAAAGATGGTGTTCCCGCCAGACATACCATTAGAGTGAAAGTGAATGCACGAACTAAGAAGTCCCCCCTCCCATCTCCGTCCCCCGTTGCAGTGTCCCGGTTAGCGAGGACTTGCGGCTTCAAGTGGAGCAGTGACAAGTGCAGTACGACAGTAGCAGTCACTGAGGGCCTGACCGAATAACAACATCATGTCAACACTGAAAAGGGCATGACACCGAGACCCAAAAGACTGTTCCGAGTTCCCCTCATTGTGCTGTCGCTGCAAGACTGAAAGCTTACTTGGAGGTCCATCATCTTGCAACACGGAAAACAGAAACCTGGCTTTAAGTGCACTAACAGTAGTACTCCCACAACGAACGCGGTTTGTTGCAGGACAAGGTTCCAACGTTTGAAAGACAGCACAATTAAGGTCTGTCCCTGACAAAGGTAGGAGGCGTCACTGGCGTGGACTCTGGAGTGTTCGACATCGTCACGGCGTCGGTGGTCGTCGTCTCTCTTTCTTTCCCGGATCGGTTTCTTGGGTGCTCGATCCCCTTGAGCAGCCACCCGAAGTATTCGCCCTCTCTCTCTCACTCTCTGCTGGGCATAGGGTCCCCTTTCTTTGCTTTGTTTGGGGTGCAGGGCGGAGGCGGTCCGCTCTCTCTCTCTCTCTCTCTCTCTCTCTCTTTCGCCAGGGCTATGGTGGAGGGTGTTGCCCCCCACCGCGCACTCGCGCGCTCCCGAAGGTTGCGGGTCTCTCTCTCTCTCTCTCCCTCTCCCTCTCGGTCTTCGTGTTCCGGACTCTGGGACGGCAAGGTCTGGCAGGGTTTGCACGAGCTAACCGAAACGAACATGGCTTGCAAGGCTTGCAGGTTGTCTTTATCTGTACGGTTCATAGACATGCTTGCCGCGCGTGAGTTGGTGTATATAAGATCTGCCGAGTGTTGAAAGGCGCGGGGGGGTTAACCATCAGTGTAGGTCCTCACCAGTTTGGATTGCCCGAGTTGGGCCGGCTAATGTCTACGCTGCAACAACGGAATGCAAAGGACCCCAGGACCTCGTTGACGTTCTCGAGGCTGGAAATTCATTTTGAGTTCCCCAATTGAACAACTGCCAAGACAACTTGGCTCATGTGGAGAGACATGTCATCAGCAGCAGCCGGCCTTCTTGGTGTCAGTGCCATCATAGGGCTCCACCGTCTCCGAGTGAATAACGTTTCCCTTCCAGTTGATGGACTCAATCTTTATCTCGTCCTGTGCCGGTGGATGGCTGGCTACCTTTGTGATTGTAAGAGCCAAGACTCGATCCTTATAACACGAAGCACCCAGACTGATGGATTTGTGGAGCAGTCGAGGAAAGTTTGGGAATTGATCCGCAGGAAATTGTCCAACAACCCGTAGGGCTCTCCGAGCTCTCCGTTGCGTGTGCCATCCTCAATTCTCAACACAGTAGACCGTAGATGGTGCCTTGGACATCGACAAGTCGAAAAATCCGTACCTGCGATGGTGAAGTCATCGGGCTGCCCACATATGAGAACGGAAAATGCGCAGTCTAGCAGAGTTCTGAAAACGTGTTGCTGTTGGCGATCAAAGGTGCTGGTGGTCGTTGTCGTTCTCAAGTTCTACATTGTTCTCCGACGTGATGCCGCCACCGCCGCCAGTGATGAAGCAGGTAAGACCACCTAACTTCTCCTTGGCAGGGATTCGGCTGCTTGTGAATCGCCTTTCCGTCGTAACTACTAAAGTGTACTTCGCTGAATCGCACACTGTGGTGGTGCCGCGGCTGCTCAGTCAATCGCGATAGTTTACGAGTCAGGCGGCAGAATTAACATGCCCCTAAGTGATGGCATCTGCTTGGGATTCTCGTCCGAAGCCATGTACCGGGTACTGCAGGTGCGGATGGCAACCGTGAACTGCATAGAGACTTGGAGCATGCATGCTGTGTGAGAGAGAGAGAGAGAGAGAGAGAGAGAGAGAGAGGGAGAGTGCAAACACAGACAAACAACTGCTCCAAACAGTTGTCCTCGTAACAATGCAAACCCCTGCTTCTTCAGGAGACAATGAGGACCGCTGAGGGGCATACGACAAGAGACCTCATGACGATTCGCACATCCCAGCATCCATGAAATTTGGATGCTTTGATATCCCTTGCATAAGCCGAAGATCCGGGGCCCAGTACATCATCTGATAGTGCGTGTGGCCGGTCACAAGCCTCAATCTGCGTGACTTCGACCTATCAACAAACGCATACTTAATGACTAACCCATCCCCAAGCGGAACCCAAACTCCCAAACCCAAAATCTTGTGAGGACAAATGCCTGCTCTCAATGCTGCCTTGGAAGCAGGTCCAGCCCGTACTTCAGGTGCAACTCCTCGTCAGGTTGGGACGGCTTGCCAAGGGTCACTATTCACACTCAGGTTGCGAA